ACACCCTTCACACACACGAGCACACAGGCACACACACCACACACTCAGTCGTGCACACACGCAGATGTACACACCACACACTCAGTCGTGCACACACCCTCCACACACATGAGCACACAGGCATGCACACACCACACTCACAGTCGTGCACACACACAGATGTGCACACCACACACTCAGTCGTGCACACACACGTGCACACACCCTTCACACACACGAGCACACAGGCACACACACCACACTCACAGTCGTGCACACACACAGATGTACACACCACACACTCAGTCGTGCACACACCCTCCCCACACGTGAGCACACAGGCATGCACACACCACACTCAGTCGTGCACACACACAGATGTACACACCACACACTCAGTCGTGCACACACACGTGCACACACCCTTCACACACACGAGCACACAGGCACACACACCACACACTCAGTCGTGCACACACGCAGATGTACACACCACACACTCAGTCATGCACACACACGTGCACACACCCTCCACACACATGTGCACACACCACACACTCACAGTTGTGCACACATGCAAATGTACACACCACACACTCACACTCATGCACACACATCACACAATCACAGTCGTGCAATCACACAGATGTACACACCACACACTCACACTCATGCACACACATCACACTCACACTCATGCACACACACACATACACACACCCTCCACACACATGTGCACAAGGCATGCACACACCACAAACCCACACTCGTGCAAACACACACATGCACAAGTGTGTGCACTCACCCTCCACCCATATGTGCACACAGGTACACGTGCCCCACACACTCACACTTGTGCACACACACACACATGCATGCACGCCCAGTGCTAGCGGCCAGCAGTCCCTGTGGATCTGCTCCCAGAGCCTTCCTGATTCGGGAGCAGGGAGAGTGCCCCACCCTCAGCTGGCCTCGCTGCCCTGGCCATGCCAGGCCGGTTCTGCATGGGTGACCTGGGCCCTGGTTCAGCGCGGGGATGTAGGGAGGGAGCCGGGGTGCCCCGGGTCAGTGGGGTGATGTCAGGAGGGAACCGGGGCTCCCGGCATCAGCGTGGGGATGTAGGGAGGGAGCTGGGGTGCCCAGGTGAGCACGGGGATGTCAGGAGGGAACCGGGGCACCCGGGGTCAGTGCGGGGATGTCGGGAGGGAGCCGGGGTGCCCCGGGTCAGTGGGGTGATGTCAGGAGGGAGCCAGGGTGCCCCGGGTCAGCGCAGGGACGTCGGGAGGGAGCCAGGGTGCCCCGGGTCAGCGCAGGGACGTCAGGAGGGAGCCAGGGCGCCCCGGGTCAGCGCGGGGACATCGGGAGGGAGCCGGGGTGCCCCGGGTCAGCGTGGGGATGTCGGGAGGGAGCCAGGGTGCCCAGGTGAGCACGGGGATGTCAGGAGGGAACCGGGGCACCCGGGGTCAGTGTGGGGATGTCGGGAGGGAGCCGGGGTGCCCCGGGTCAGTGGGGTGATGTCAGGAGGGAGCCAGGGTGCCCCGGTGAGCATGGGGATGTCAGGAGCCAGGGCGCCCGGATCTGGGTGTAGATATCAGGAGGGAGCCGGGGTGCCCCGGGTCAGCGCAGGGACGTCGGGAGGGAGCCAGGGTGCCCCGGGTCAGTGGGGTGATGTCAGGAGGGAACCGGGGCTCCCGGGGTCAGCGTGGGGATGTAGGGAGGGAGCCGGGGTGCCCAGGTGAGCACGGGGATGTCAGGAGGGAACTGGGGCACCCGGGGTCAGTGCGGGGATGTCGGGAGGGAGCCGGGGTGCCCCGGGTCAGTGGGGTGATGTCAGGAGGGAGCCAGGGTGCCCAGGTGAGCACGGGGATGTCAGGAGGGAACTGGGGCACCCGGGGTCAGCGCGGGGACATCGGGAGGGAGCCAGGGTGCCCCGGGTCAGCGCAGGGACATCGGGAGGGAGCCAGGGTGCCCCGGGTCAGCGCAGGGACATCGGGAGGGAGCCAGGGTGCCCCGGGTCAGCGCGGGGACATTGGGAGGGAGCCAGGGCGCCCGGATCTGGGTGTAGATATCAGGAGGGAGCCGGGGTGCCCCGGGTCAGCGCAGGGACATCGGGAGGGAGCCAGGGTGCCCCGGGTCAGCGCAGGGACATCGGGAGGGAGCCAGGGTGCCCCGGGTCAGCGCAGGGACATCGGGAGGGAGCCGGGGTGCCCCGGATCTGGGTGTAGATATCAGGAGAGAGCCGGGGTGCCCCGGGTCAGCGCAGGGACATCGGGAGGGAGCCGGGGTGCCCCGGGTCAGTGGGGTGATGTCAGGAGGGAGCCAGGGTGCCCAGGTGAGCACGGGGATATCAGGAGGGAGCCGGGGCGCCCCGGGTCAGCGCGGGGACATCGGGAGGGAGCCGGGGTGCCCCGGGTCAGCGCGGGGACGTCGGGAGGGAGCCGGGGCGCCCCGGGTCAGCGCAGGGACATCGGGAGGGAGCCGGGGCGCCCCGGGTCAGCGCGGGGACATCAGGAGGGAGCCGGGGCGCCCCGGGTCAGCGCGGGGACATCGGGAGGGAGCCGGGCGCTCACGCGGCTGCTGCTGGAGAAGTAGTACACCATGCGCGAGGCTATGTCGTCCACCCAGGGCAGGATCTTCTCCTCGGCGTGCATGGCCATTTGCCCGTAGCACAGCAGGGAGGTGCTGCTGACCCATTTCCAGCGCAGGTCGGGGTCCGACTCCTGCGGGGGGAGGGGGGCGGAGCTGGGCCTGGTGCCTGCCCCCGGACCCCTCCGGAGCAGGGGCAGGGTCCTGGGCAGCCACCTCCTCCAGGAAGCCCCCCCAGCTGGCAGGTTCCCAGGTTGCCTCATCCCTCAGCTGTCTCTCATTCATCTGCTGTTCCCGGGGGAGGTTCCCGGGCCCTGGCAGGCCCAGAAGGCAGAGTCCCTCAGCGCAAACTCCTGCAGAGGGCTGGGCTGGGGGGCAGCCAGCAGGACTTAGTCCTGCCACCCCTCCTCCGGCCGCTGGAGCAGACGGGATGATCCAGGCCAGGGCCACACACATCGCGTGGTCAGGGCAGGCCCCCGGGACCTGGACCTCCGCCGGCAGGGGGTGTCAGCGCGACACCTTCCGAGCAGGTGATGGTCGGCTGGGGCCAGCAAGAGGGAGGTGGTTGGGAGGCCCCCAACGTCCCCAGCCTGCCCGCCCCGGCGAGCCCCTACCTGGCCGTCCCGCAGGGCCGACCTCAGGAAGCGGGTGCGGCCCAGGTGCTCCAGCGTGGCCCACACCACCTCCAGGTGCGAGGTGGACGCCAAGCCCATGGCCAGCGCGATGCCCTGTGGCAGAGGACCCCGTGAGCTGGCCCCGGCCGCGGCGCTGGTGCCCCCCGCGCCCCCACCTCCGAGGGAGCCGGGCGGGGCAGCCCACCTCCCGCTGGGGGGCGCACTGGTGAGACAAGTCCAGGAGGCGGGTCAGGTACCTCTTCACCAGGGCCGTGTCCACGCACTCCCGGAGCACCAGGCCGTACAGGCTGAAGAGGAACACCTGGGGAGGTGGCCGAGGGCCTGCTGGGCGCCGGGGCCCCGGCCACACAGCTGCCCCCTTGCCGCCCCCTGGGGCGCACTTGAGTGGGACCCTCACTCACACCCAGGCCCACCCGGCTCCCCGTCCCTGCAACACGCAGGATCTCCTTGCCTAACTCCCTTGGGCTTCCACCCTGGGGCCCAGGCACGCCTCCTCCAGGCAGCCCTCCTGTCTTTCCCAAGCTTCCCAGGGCTCCGGGCTCGTGGGCAGGGCACCTGCTCTTCCTCAGGCCGCCCGCAGGGGTCTCTGGCCCAAGCACTACCTTCTCCTTTGCCCGCTGGGGGTCCAGGTACAGAAACTTCATGAGGTTTTGGATGGGGCTGTCCTCGGAGGTGAGCAGCTGCCCTCCCCCAGCGAGCTGTGGGGACAGCGCGGGGCTGGGGGCACCTCTCGGCTCCATGCCGCCCCGCCCACCCCCGCACAGGGCAGGACAGAGCTCGGGGGGACAGGACAGAGGGGCCTAGGACAGGAACCCACCCCCACAGAGCACGGGGAGAGGGCAGAGTGGCCCCAGCAGCCCTCCTCCCACGAATGACTGGCCACGCCCTCCTCTGCTGCAGACCCCGGCTCAGGGAGGAGGCCAACCCTTCCTCGTGGCTCAGCCGGCCACCCTGACCCCCCAGAGGCTCCACCCCTCTGAGCCACGCTCCCCCCGGCTCGGCCGGCTGTGGGCCCAGGCCCTCGGGCCTCTCACGTGCAGCCGGCCTCCGTCCGCGAGCACGCGCACCCTCCTCGCCTGGCTGCTCAGAGTGGACGGCAGCCCCAGGAGGGGCTGGGGGCTTCAGCCACCCGGGGTGGTCCCCCAGGCCCTCAGCCAGGCCTCGGGGACCTGGGCCTCCGTGCAGACGGCCGGGCTGGTAGGGCAGCCAGCAGGGCTTGGTCCTGCCGCCCCTTCTCCCGCCACTGGAGAAGCTGTACACGAGGCCGGCGCTAGCAGAGCCTGAGACGGCATCGCCCACTGCCGGTCACGCAGCCCCAGCGGCCACCGGGCATCTGAGAGCTGGTGGGCGGGGCTTCAGGGCCTGCGAAGGCCTGGGGGAGCCTGGGGGAGCCGAGCTCGGGCGCGTGAGCACTGGGGCCACAGCGGGAGCCCCCGAGGGCCCCCAGGCGGTCAGGCCCACAGAGGGGGCGGCAGGAGAGGCTCTCGGGGCCCACCTTGCTGTGCTCATCCAGGCAGTGGCAAATGGCTTCCAGCACCGGGCTCTGCTCCGAGGCCGTCATCAACCGGATCTGCTTGGCCTGTTCCTCGCTCAGGGCGGCGCAGCAGCTCCGGGGCTCTGCCTGCAGCCCCACGTCCAGGAGGTCTGCGGAGGACGCAGGGCAGGCTGGGCCGCGCTGGCCCTGGCCGCTGCGTGACCCCCAACGGTGCTTCGGTGGGAAGATGGCCCCCAGCTCACACCAGCAGGGCCGCTTCTCCCAAACGCGCCTGGAGACCCCGCCCAGAGTCAGGTGGGCACCCTGGCCGCCAGACAGAGACAGTCCCAGGGGCGGAGACCGGGCCCGGGGGTCGGCAGGCAGTGAGCATGCAGGGACCGGCCGGAGCCAGCGCAGGACGCGGGGCCCTGGACCACAGCCAGAACCGGAGCCTTCAGACCAGTGAGAGGGCACGCTGGCTGGGGGGCGGGCCCAAAGGAGCCGCCAATCGTTTGGAACACATTAACCTAAATCCCCGTTTCCTGCACCGAGTAGCTGACACGGCGACGTATACATTTCAGAACTGAAACGGGGTACAGCCAGTGGAGCCGCTGCCCGCGTCAGCGCACGCTGGAGTCCCGGCCGCTCGGCTTCCGGTCCAGCTCCCTGCTATGGCCTGGGGAGCAGCGGAAGCCGGCCCCCTGCAGGCCCCTGCACCCGCGTGGGAGACCCCGCCTGACTTCCAGGCTCCTGGCTTCGGCCTAGCCCAGCCCTGGCTGTTGGGCCATCTGGGGAGTGAACCAGCGGGTGGGAGACTGTGTGTGTGTGTGTGTGTGCGCGCCTCTGTCACTCTGCCTTTTAAATAAACAAATAAATTTTTTTTAAAAAAAGACAAAACCTCAAATTGGAGGTACAGAGGCAGGCAGGGGGTCCTCTCCTGACCTCAGGCTGGAGAGGGGGAGGAGTCTTGCGGTGAGCCCCGCCCCCTTCGCCCCCACCCCTCCGGAGCTAACCTCCTGAGTGGGGCCAAGTCCTCCACACGGGCGCGGGACGGGAAGGGGCAGGGAGGGGCATGGAGGACAGGTGGTCCCCCGGCCAGGGACCAGGGGCGTCAGAGACGACGCCGACCCCGCAGCCTCCAGGGGCTGGGGGTCGCTGAAAGCCACATGCAGCGGGCACTGGGCGCAAGGCAGGCAGCCGGTGCGGCTGGCTCGCCGTGGGTTTTGCACGTGTGGGGTCCGGGCCCGAGAGCCTCCTGTCTGCCCACCCCGGCCTCCGCCGCGCTGGCGGCTGGCTTCTGGGCCGCCTCCTGCAGCGGGGCCCCCGAGCTGCTGAGGGCAACGGGGGTCCGCAGCACCTGTGGCCGAGTGAATTTCCACCCACGTGGGGCAGGAGCTCGATGCGTGTGTGCCCGGGCTCCCAGCGCAGGCTGGCTGGCCGCTGAGCGCTGTGGGCTGGGCCCCAGGCAGCACTGGAGCTGCCTCCCCGTGGGGCAGGGCTGAGGCCTCCCCTCCAGCTGCCCCCCGGGGCCTGAGGTGCTGAGAGTGTGGGGGCAGGGGCCAGCCAGCCGGCCAGGGGTGGGGCACCCTTGGTTTCCGGTCCGCGGGGAGTCTCCCAAGCCCTTCCAGAAGTCTGTCTCCCGCCTCCCGGGCAGGAGCCCCAGGGCCTGGGCGTGCGGCCCCGAGGCCCGCTCACCCCTCTCCAGCTCCTGCATCTCCTCCTGCAGTGCGGTGCCCCGGCTCGAGTTCAGGCGGAGGAGCTCGCTGAGCGGGGCCGACATGGCCGGGGCGGCCGCTGGGGAGACAGGACCTGCACGGACGCAAGGGGGCGTTCTCAGCCCTCGCCGGACACCCCACGCCTCACCAAGCCCTTTCCTCAGAGGCTCTCCGGGTCCTGGCCGGGGCTGACCCTGCTACGCGGCCGGCATCGGAGCCCCGGAAGTCCTGGCCGGCACCCCGTGCCCCTCCTGATGCCCGGCTCAGCCACCCCACCTGCAGGGACGCTGGGTTCTGGGAGTGTGGGCAGCGCCAATGGCCACAACCCCCTCCGAGCCCACAGGGTGGCCCTGCGCCCCCCCCCCGCCCACCTCACGTGGGCGTGGGCGGCGGTGGCTCTGAGGATCCCTCTGCCCACCCTGCCCACCTGCCCTGGCCTCCAGCCAGACGCACCAGGCCGGAACCTCCGCGCGGCCCCACTGCTGCCCACACACTCCGTGGTCAGCTGGTCAGTTCCTGGTCACCAGTGTACACCTGGGCTTGCGCCCCGGCACCCTGAGCGGCTGGCCACTAGTCAGCTTCTCCAGGCGCTGGGGCCACCCGGGACCCCTCTGCCCGGCAGCAGGCCTGCCTCCACTGCAGTCCCTACCTCTCCGAGCCCTTGCTGCCCCTCCCCCGTCACGGGGCCACACCTTGCACGGAGCCCACCTCGGTGCTCCTCCTCCGCCTGCCCTGTCTGCGGCTCTCTCAGCTCCTGGTGCGCTGTGGAGCTGGGCACCGCCACCACCCGGTCCTACCGCACAGCTGAGCCCTCCACGGCCCCCTGCACTCCTCCTCTGGGTGTGGGGTCCTGTGTGCACCTGGGGCGAAGCAATGTGAATGCAGATATGGTGACACGAGACGCAGCGCGGGGCGAGCGGTGAATGAATGAATGAGCGGAGTGAATGAGTGGGATGAATGAATGAATGAGTGGGATGAATGAGTGAATGAGTGGGTGAGGGAGTGGCTGAGTGGCTGAGCCAGCGCGGGGGCTGAGGGTGGGCCCTCACCCCGTGCCCCTGGCCCACGTCGCTGTGCGGCCTGTGCTGCTGGCACCAGCCGTCCAGCAGCTGCAGAGGGGCTGGTGGCCGCCCTGTCCCCTGGGGAGCCCTGTGCCCGCCCCTGGCCACCCCTGCCTGGACTCGGCCTGAGCCGCTGTCGGAGACCCCGTCCTGGGAGCCTGCGCTCATTGCCACGCTGGGCTCCACCCCGCTTCTGTGCTGGTTCTGCCGGGCCCACCTGGCCCAAGGCACACACACGCCCCGCCCCCGCATGCCGTGCCCTAGCCGGCCCCCTCCTGGCAGTGCCAGGAGGAGCCCCCTCCCTGGCTCCTCCCACCACCCCTGCAAACGGCTTCCCCAAACCCCTTGTGGAAAAGGTGGAGCCATTCTCAAGCCATCCCATTTGGAGCCGGGGTGGCTGGGACAGTGTGGGTGGGTCTGGGGGCCTCCTGGAGGCGGCACGGTGAGGTCCCAGGCTGTCGGACACTCAGGCAGCAGGGACATGCGGAGGGTGTGCAGGTGGCCTGAGGCTGTGGCCCAGAGGCCGGGGCCGGCTGGAGGGCAGCTGGGGGCGAAGGCTCCAGGTCCCAGGCAGGACCCCCCACCCCCGCCCCAGACCCCAGACCCTTGCACTAGCTTCTTGCCCGCGGCCCCCACCCTCCTGGGCTCCCCCCTCAGGAAGCCCTGCCCCGGCACCCCAGTGCAGCCAGCTCCCAGCCTGGCCACGGCCGCCCAGCTGCACAGAGCCCCTGCTAGCCCCTGCCCGCCCCATGGGCCAGCTCTGTGGCCGGCCACAGCCCCTCCTGGGAAGGGAGACTCTCGGACGCACCCCGAGCCTCTGCCCCAGCTCTCCTGCCGCACACCCTCGCCCTGGCACCCACTCACCCCGCCCTGCCCCACGCAGGCCCCCTGGGCCACTCCCTGGCCCCGGCCCCAGCCCAGCTGCAGACCCGGCTTCCTGCTGACCCGCCCCCAGGCCGGAGCTGCTGATGGCTCAGTACCCGGGCCGCTGCCACCCGCGAGGGCGCCCCGGCATCAGCTTCCTGGCATCAGCGTGGCCTGGCCCTGGCTGTCGCAGGCATGTGGGGACTGGGCCAGTGATGGAAGATCTCTCTCTTTCTGCCTCCGGTTAAACGGTTCTAATTAACATAGTTCTAATTAAGCCAGCAGCCAGCCCAGGGGGCAGAGGCAGTGGGGAGGGCGTTGGCCCGTGGGGAGGAGCTGCCCGGGCTCCGGCCCTGCTCCCAGATCCCACTGCCCTCTCCGGCACCTGTCACCTGTCGTGAACCCCGCTCCCAGGAATCCAGTCTGCAGGAGAAATTAGAAATGTGTAGAAAATGCACGCGTGCTTGGGAGCTTCAGCCACCACAGGTGTGCGGGCAGCTGCGGGGTCCCGGCGAGGCACGGGGCTACCGGCCCCAGGTCAGAGCCGAGACTTATCTCCGGGTGTTGGGTCTTCGGTTTACTTGGAAGGTGGAGTTACAGAGAGAGGGAGAGACCTTCTATCCGCTGGTTCACCCCACAAGGGGCCCACGCCAGCCAAAGCCAGGAGCCAGGAACTCCATCTGGGTCTCCCACGTGGTGCGGGGGCCCAAGGACATGGCCCATCCCCCGCTGCCTTCCCAGGCCATCAGCAGGGAGCCGGACCGGAAGTGGAGCAGCCAGGGCTTGAACTGGCACCTGCATGGGACGCTGGTATGGCCAGCAGTGTCATCTTAACCCTCGGGTGATTTTTATTTTATTTTATTTTTCTCTGAGTCCTTTTCAAACTCCCCCCACCTCCCACCTGCAATGGTTGGGAGAAAAAATGCGTATTTAAATCCAAACCCACGCAGGGGCTTCTGAAAAGTAGCAGACGAACAGGGCTGTGAACCGTACCTTCAGCTCCAGACACCAGGGCGGCGGGGACTCGCGGGCCGGGGGCAGGGGACAGACACCTCCCCAGGGACAGAGCCCCTGCAGGTCAGGTCGGCGGGTCACGGCCGCCAGGGGTCGCGGGTTGCGTCCTGGGGAAGAAAGCCCATCTGGAAGCTGGGGGACCCGAGGGACCTGGAGACCCCGGGAGCTGCCCTCTGAGAATTCCGCCCTCAACCGACGCGGTGGGCAGTTGGGAAGGCGCCAGCACCCGTGGCCAGAGGCCGGGAGGCGGAGGAGGGCTGGCTGGGGACGTGCCAGGAGCCCTGGCAGGGGTCAGCCAATCCAGTGGCGTCTGCCAGGGGGGAAGGGCCCCCCAGCTGCAGGAACTGGAGCAGCCCCCAGTCTTATCGTGGGAGACCCTGGCCCACTCCTGACGGACGGCCAGGGCGCGAGTCCCTTGTCCAAGTTCAGGAGAGCCTGGGTCCCTGGGGCCGTGCGCCTCCCCCTGCCCCACAGGGCCCTGGCCGCACTTGTCCCAGGACCCTTAGGGCTGGACGTCTCCAGCGCCTCCTGCTGGGGGGCGTGTGGCTAGAGCAGCTGCCCCAGGGCTCAGGGAGACCACCAGCAAGGGGACCGCACACCCTGCTGGCGGAGGGTGTCCTGCAGAGGCTCCCCCGGGGCCTGAGGATGGCGGCGAGCCCCTGGCCTGGGCACCCTGCATCTGCTCTTTCCTTAGGCGCCCACTCCACAGTGACCCTGGGGCCGGGGGTGGGAAGCAGGGAGGGGGGTAGGCAAGGAGCGGGACCCTGGGCAGCTCAGCCGCCGTGGGAGAAAACGCTACCTTAGGGAGGGGGTTTCTAATGCCCCACCACGGCCACAGCTGCCCTGGGGAGCCCCGCTCCTGAAGAGACGGGCGTCTGGGGCCTCGGAGTGAGGCCCTGGGCAGTGGTGGGCGCCCGAGCGCCCTGCTGCGCCCACCCGCTTGCTCCGGGGCTTGTGGGTGTTTCTAGCCCTGCTGTGCCTCTGCAAGGACCAGAGGGACCCTCCCCCCCAGGACCTGGGAGATTTGGGGGTGCTGGGGCAGGGTGTGGAGAGGGAGGTCATGACCCTGACCCGCCCAGGCTGGGCCCAAGGGAGAAGAGGAGGTGGAGGGCTGGGGCCATGGTGTTGGTGCTGGGACCCAGAGAAGGAGGTGTTAGCACCGCCGGGACCCACAAGCCTGCTGGGGAGGGTCCTGCTAGAGGGTCGGATACCGAGAGGGCCCAGGGTGAGCCTTGGGGACCTGGTCGTGGGGGTCACAGGGCCAAGACGGCACGGGGGCGGCAGGGGGCCTCTGCGGCCTCGGGCAGTGCTGGAGGAGTCCAGGAGAAGCTGGGGACAGGCAACGCTGGCGGGCAGAGGCACGGGAGGCAGAGGGCAGCGGGGTGGGGTGGGGGCAGGGCAGGCCACGAGGATTCCCAGAGGTGTGGCCGGGCCCAGGGAGCCGGGGCTGGGAAGGGGGCGGGAGGTTTTGTTATTTCCATCCTGGGGGAAGCAGAACTCCAGCTTCCGGCAGAGCTGCGGGCTCTGTGGGAGCTCGGGGGCCGGGGCTGTGCCCACAGCACCCAGCGGCCCTGGCTGGGCTGCATGCGGCCAGGGCAGGCTCTGCGGAGGAGCCCAGGGTGGCGTCGGGTGGGGGTGGACTGTGTCCTGGGGGGAGAGGGCGCAGGGATGGCCGGCTGTGTGGGGGTGTCGGGGAAGGGCTGGGACTGGGGCGTGGGCATCTCCTGGGGCCACCTCCCACGCTGGGTCTGCCGTGGGCCCCCAGAGCTCTGACTTTAATTCCCTGGTATGCACGCCTCGCTGCTGGGAACAGGAAGCCACGTGGGGTGCTGACTGCTAAGGATGGGACCGCTGGCCCCCGAGGCAGGTCTGCCCGAGGCCGGGGCCTCCCGGGAGCAGGATGGCAGGGGCGGCTGCAGCCAGGGCTCCCCCGGCTGCACCTGGGAAGGGACTGGGGCCCCTGCCGCTCCCGCCAGGCTGCCACCGGCTGACTCGTTGGCCCGCACAGCATCAGGGAGTCCCCTGAACCTCCCGTCGCCCAGCGGGCCCAGCCTGGCGGGGGACGGCCATTCGCCAGGCAAGTGCCAGGGGAACCCGGCACCTCTGCTGGGACAATCCCAGGGCAGGCCTTGTGCAGCCCGGGGGTCTGAGCTGGGGGTTGAAGCACAAACAGGAGTTTGCTGAGTGGTGAGGGAAGAAGCAGCAGGCCAGGGCCGGGGGCGGGGGGTCCCCAAGAGAGGGCCTGCTGCCAGGGAGGCCGGTGGCACAGCCACCCCACCTCCCCCCACTGACTCGCCGGCCATGGGTAGTCGCTGGTGCCACAGTCCACAGTCACGGCAATGCAGAGCAAGCTGGGCGGCTCCCTGCAGCCTGGCCCACAGGGCACAGCTGTCCTCAGCGCCCCGACGCCCGGTCCTGCTCCCTGATGTTGTCCCAGAAGTCTCTGAGCTGAGTGGGCAGGGCAGGAGCTGGGCAGGAGGGGGCAGCCACCAGGGCAGTGGCTCTTCTTCCTGGGGCGGGGGCCTGGGGACCTGGGTGGGGTTGGGTCAGCTCTTGCCCCCACCCCCGTGGAGCAGGCTTCAAACCTCACCCTCTACTCACTGCCGCTGTGTGGCCTCGGGCAGATTGCCGAGCCACTCTGTGCGCTGCGCGTGGCTGCGCGCCGTTTGGACAGGTCCCAGGAGAAGGGTGCAGGACGAACACCTCTCCGCACTGCCAGACCCCGTGAGGGGTGCTGGGTGAGGGAGGGAGCGAGCTGGACTGTGTCCTGGCCACAGGGCCAGGAGTCCCGGGGTGGGGGATCGTAGGCAGAAGGGAGGGGCCGGCGTCTGGGCAGGGCAGCACCCAGGGCCGTGCAGGAGCACGAGAAGGCTGGGAGGCTGGTGGGGAGGCGTGGGTGACCACGGGCCGGGCCACAGGGAGGTCAGTGTGGGCTCTGAGCAGCGGGGGGGCGGTGCCCGCAGGCTGCTGTGCCGAATGTCACAGGTCAGAGAAGAGGCACGGCGGGGGGAGGGGAGGGGGCAGCAGGGGAGGGCACAGCAGCAGGGCCCCCAGCCATGGGCCTGCTCTGTCTTGAGTTTCCAGGGCCTGGGGCTACCCGGCACCGAGCAGGCATGCAAGGTGCGTCCGTCCCGGTGAGCACGTCGGAGCGAGGCTTGTCTGCCTCCCTGCGGCTGCGTTTCTGGCCGCCATTCGGTTGCTGTGGCGCGGGCTCTCCCTGGAAAGCTGGGTGCCTGTCCCGGGGCCGCACCTGCGGGGCTGAGAGGCCTGGCAGCCGCTGCCACCCACTCCTGTTTTCCTCAGAGTTTTCGTCATGGCTAACTGCTGCATTGGGGCAGGCCCTAGACTGGGGCGGGGGGCCCTGCATGACCTGAGCCGCCCAGCGGGGCCCACTACGCAGTTTGTTTTAAAGGTGTGGTTTATGGAAAAGCGACAGAGAGAGAAGGAGAGAAACCCTCCTCCATTCCCTTGTGCAGTCCCCCAAATGGCTGGGGGAGCCGGGAGCTCCCTTGGGGTCTCCCATGTGGGTGGCAGAGGCCAAGTTGGGGGCCGTGGGGCCCCCTGCTGAGTGCATCCCTCCACCCATTACAGAAGTGCATGTGCACAGGAGAGCAGGGTTTATGGAAAGAAAAAAAAAAAACTGGAGAACCAGGCGCAGGCAGGTGGGGGGGGAGGGAGAGGACAAAAGCCCCCACGTGACAGGGAGTGGTGTGGGGGGGCTTAAGAAATATTGGAACAGGGCGGAGTTTAGGGCGGGGCTTGAGTACTGCCCAACCCCTGCCCCTTTATGGGAGGCATCTAGGTATCAGGTGCATGCTGGGAGACGAATGCCGGCCATGGTGGCGTCATCCTAACAACCTAAAGGCGACCGTGGGCTGACACAGGGCACGGGAGGCGGGCTTGTGCAGCACAGACCGGGCCATCGCGCAGGCCGGCTGGCAGGGCTGCGCCACCTGGGTCTGCTGCTGCCACATGAGTCGGCCGAGGCTGTCAAACCTCAGGTCCTCTCTGTCACCTCCCACCTGCCCGAGTCACAAGCGCTCCCAGGCACCTCAGCAGGGGCAGGTGCGGGCAGGTGCGGGCAGGCGGGACTGGACCCCAGGCTCAGCAAGGCCCGCCGGCTACCCCCTGTGCTGTGGACTCCGATTCGCCAGCGCCGTGTTGGGGGTCCTGCCCCTCTGCCCACGTGGGAGACTGGCCTTCCTCCGGCCGGGGGGTGCCTGGGGCCACGTTCTTGGCTCTGATGCAAGAAGGAATTCAAGGTCCTGAGATGGGTGGAGTCAGACGCAGGGGGCGGAGTCTGGGGCAGGGCTGGAGGACCCCCCACTCCTTGTCCTCTTGGGGAGACCTTGGAAATGTCGAGGCGTCAGGCGGGATGGGGTGGGCGCGTCAGCCTCGCAAGTCTTGTTACAAGGAGCCCAGCTGGTGGCTGTGTTGGGCCTGGGGGGCGCAGGTGGAGAGAGAGGCAGAGCTGTGGCTTCCGGTGCGGGGCAGGGGGAGGGGCGGCACCCCCGCCCTGGTTTTGGCTTCAGGACAAGGGAGCTGTTCCCGCTGCTCCTGAGCCTTTAAACACTGGGGACGGTTGTCCAGCGAAGCTGCGCGGGCCTGCCTGGAGGGCTCTGCTTTCTGAACTTGATGTTAACCAGCCTGGTTTCAACGCCCTGCCGGCCACTCGCTGCTGAACGGGTTCGGTGAAGCCCTGACAGGCGTCTGTCTGCTTTATCTTTGGAGGAGTGTGGTGTTCTTGTAGCCCATTTCCATGTCAGACCCCTGGGGAGGGCAGCCACGCCAAGCCCCCTCCTGGTTGTGTGGCCCAAGCCTGGAGCAAGAAGGGGCTTGGAACGGAAAGCCGTGAACCTGGCCGGCTCCAGGGGACGCCTTGTGGGAGCTGGAGGACAAGCGGGTTCCAGCCCTGTCCCTAACGGCCGGCGGCTGGCTGGGCCTCAGACACGGCCAGGCAATGGGTGTCCTTAGCCTCCGCTCTGCTGCGGGGGCGGGGGAGGCGGGCCGGGCTGAGTCTTGGAGCTGCGGCGTGGGCCCCTGGGAACAAAGCCCGGCCCTGAACCCAGGAGAAGGTGACTCCTGGCCAGAGTATCCTGTAGAAGACCGGGCAGAGCTCCTGTGTGGCCGGCCGGGAGGGAAAGGTGCCGCCGTGTCCCCGCCCAGGCGTCCGCCCGGCCACCACCGACCGACCCGCTGGGCACTGTCCCCCGGGTGCAGGAGCTGGCTCTTCCGGACAGGACCCCCGCCCTCTCTGCCCACTAACGCCCCCCCCCACCTCACCCCTTCCAAAGGATGGCAGGTGTGTGATCCGGCTGCGGGCCAGCTCCCCACCTCTGGCCAGCACCCCCAGCCGCGGCCCTGGAGGGACGGCTCTTGGG